AAAAGACAAATTTTACAAAGTAAACTGCTTATTGCTTCTAAGTAATTTGTTTAGAGCATCAAAATACATTTATAATATGTATATAAAATTTGGTATAAGTTGAATAGTTTTATTAATATTAGGGGGTTTCAGAATTAATGATTCGGCGTCCGATTTCAGATAAAATAAGTGACATATTTATTTCAAAATAAGCAACGTACAAATTCTATTTTTTTTAAAGTATGTACTTATTTACATAATTGTTTACCGATGAATGTTTAGCTAATTTTATCACCGACTATGCCTATTTAATTTTTGATGCGGAATTCTAAAAAAGGAAATAGGTCCTTTTAAACTCCCACTTTTGAAAAAAAAGTTAATTCTGAAACCCCTATTATAACAATGGGGAGTTTCAGAATTATTCTGAAAATAATTGGGAGTTTGAAAAGTCCTAATTTTGGTTTGAAATTTTGAAATCAGAAAATGAAAAAGGAGTTGTCCGGAGATAGAATAAACAAACTTTTTTTGATGATATCTGATATAAATAGGCTTGCAAATAAAATAAATAAGATTTATAGATCGCTGACTACAAAATTAATACGTCGCTAATTTAATTCGAAATCAGATACCTGAACCTTAAGTCTGAAACCCCTAATACTGTAATGCAAGAGTTTCTTATATCGGAGGTTTCTTATATCGATAGAGTTACTTGTATATAAGTCTGTGTGGTCCAACTAAAATTACTTAAGTTTTTAAATGCAGTACTAGCTAATATTAGGACCAGGATATACAAGTAGAAAAAAAACTAATCCTAAAAAATAATAAACTCACCAATCATTAGACCTATACCATACAAGAGATACAAGAGACCCACGAGTCTATTACATTGGTGAAATGTACTAGACCCGAGTCTTGTATCCGGCAGTTTACGGTAATTAATTAATTTTTGCTTGGTAACTTTTTAATTACATTAAATTATTTTTATCGAAACATTATTCTATGTTGGGTTAGTCTAAAATAGCCAAACAAACATAGAATATAAGAAAAAAAATATATACATATAAAAGAAATTGTAGATAAAGATAGCAAAAAATAATCAAAATAATGTATAAAGCTAAAATAAACAATACAAATTGAATCGCTCAGAAAATACTGGGTAACGTCAATATGGATCGAGTCACTATTCGCTTATTCACATTATTCTCATGTAAAGAAGTAGTAACTTTTAATGAAGATGAAGTAGATGACACCATTATAAGAAAGAGACTATTTAAAGAATCGGAGAAAGAGATTATTTATAAATGATAAAGGAAAGAACCTAAGTTGACAAGATAAAATTGGTGGTGTTTTTATACTTATTCGTGGATTAAGAATTTCTCCTTGATGTTAAATACTACTTATTTTTATCATCCAACATTACATCACTAATGCCCGCTTTTTAGGTTGCGCACATATTTGCATTAAACCCATTGATAATGCCTTCCTATCCTTGCGTCCCTTCTTACTTTACAAAGATTATTTACATTCTATTCAATTGTTACACCACGTGCCATTGTCTTTTGAACGCGTTAATATCTAGACATTGTAACTGTCTAAGTCCCTTGCACTACGAACAATGCGGCTATGAACAAATAAAGACTAAGTACTACAAAATAATTAAATTAGGTACGTATACAAAATAATTAAGTAGATATATACTATAGATGGGATCAGTATTGTCATTGGACAATCTTGAACATGTTACACAAAATTAAAATTAAACTATGATAATCTTAATTTTACTGCATTACTATTGTTTGGACATTCTTGGACTTGGACGTTGGACATTGCAAAAAAAGGCAAAAAAAGACCTTGGACATTAAAAATGTACAACATTGGATGGGGTAACAAAATAAGAAATAATTGAATGTACATTGGTGACAAAATTACGAAAGTAACTCCAACTCGGCTTGGCTAATGAACCTCAAAGACATAATAGTAATTTGTAATATGGGTTAATTCTATACCAAAATAGATTCTAAAACTGCACAATTTAATTTTTTCTTGTTTAATATTAACCAAGGTTTTTAAGATTTGTAGATCATAACTCTTTTTCCTAATTCTGTCTGCAAATTTTTAGCATACGTGTACATACTATCCAAAAGCAATCCGGTTTAACTATTTATAAGGATATATCGATATCTGCTAAAAATGACTCCTGATGCAGAATTGCTTCATACCGATTACTTAACATCACTATGCATCAGTTTTTAGAATTATAATTCTGTAAATTGTATCAAGCGATTTAAATGCTAATATTGACTCGTGATTATGATCTATTAAAATTTTTCAGCTGCTACTTCTTTTGAAGCAGTGATATGACGTTTGATATTCATGAATAATTTTTCTCTAACGCTAATCCTTAGCACAGTAGTAAGAAAATCATTAATGCATTAAATGCATGTAAGATCCTCGTGTGGAGCGGCACTAGCGGTAATCTAGAAATTTCTAATTAAAAATTATTTTAACGCCAAACTTGTTTAAGAAGTCAGGGGATTTGCTTATTTAAGGTGACTAGTGCCACCCAATGACACAAAAGATTTACGTTTTAAATCTCTTCCTCGGTATCTTCCAATTGTTTGATGAAAGCTATTGTTACCTGATTCGATATAAAAATATCCAAATTCTTCTATCCACATAATTATTGACAAAAAAAAAAAAGAATTTTTTTGATAGTATACATTGGCGATAATTATTATTCTTGATATTTTGCTCCATGATAAGGTTAGTAGTGATTATGAACAAATTATGTCGTCTCGGTGAATTTATGTTTTGTAAAAGCGAAGGTTTGGTTTATTATTGCACATATATGTCTATAAATATAAAGCATTTAGTCTTAATGGCGTTATTACATTTATTTAACTGAGATATGTATCAATGTTTGTCAATACTTTTAAGATTTCATTATTTAAATCTTCATTTTTATGAAATTAGCTTTCTTATTTTATAAATTCATATTTTTAAAAAAAACTTCTATGGCAATCATTATTTTTACAAGATATTTGTGTGATGATCATTCTATAATTATGTGGGTAATCCCGTAAAAATCTTTAAATTCTAATTGTATTCTTGATTCTTTACTCGTTAAAGAAATGGAAAAGAAAATTACAATAATTACACAAGGAACGGATCTTAAGAATTCAACAAAAAATACTAAGTCCACTTCTGCAGAAACGAAGACAATAGGGTTGTCAAATGGGAATGCAAAGGGTAGTGCCTCCTCATCACGTTCTAGTCCAATTATTGGTTCGAAACGTTTGAGCGGATCTCCGGTGCCATTATATGATGATCCAACTGTTAATGCTTCAGTTAACGCTTCAGTTAATGCTTCAGTAACAGTCAGTAAAGAAGATTCTAAAAAAGCCACAAAAACTTCAAATACTACGAAATCCACTGTAACAAAATCATCACAAAACATCAATTCTCCTTCAAAAAGGACTTCACGGGTCATGTCTGTGATTCCCGATGCATCTAAAACATCACCTACACCGCCCTTCAAGTCGCGCACTTTACCATTACCTACACAAAATGGATTGAAATTTAACTCATCGATTTCGGAATCTTTTACTTCTGACCCAATCTCAACGATTTTTGAAGATAAAGTACAAAGGTTATCCCCGTCAAACACTTTCTCAGAAGTGGACGCCTTAAAATCAGTTAGCGTCAAAACCACAATTGCCACATTTGAAAAGAACACGACACAAGGTGGTAACTTTCCAGAATCAACTAGTGAAACTTCGCCAACATCAACAAGTCTTACTGTCACGGATACAAATTTAGAATATATGGATATGGAACAATTAGAACGTTTGTTCCTTAGCGGATCACGATCTCCATCGATAGTATCAAATTATTCATCAAATGTACCCTGGAAGTCAGATGTTCCTTTCGAGTTATCTGAAGTATCTTGGAAAGATAAAGATAATGATAATGTGGATAGTAATACTCACGGAGTGTCAGTAGCGACGAATCATCATTCTACTGATCCAGATGAACAGGTTATTATCAATTTAATAAACCTGAATATATTCATTAAATATATTTATTATTTATTTCGAACATGATATTTACTTATTATTTTACACATAGTTACGAATGGGTTTGTCTATGATACAAGAAGCTTACAATCGTAAATATTTGACAGCGTCCGCTAGTTTATGGAACGGTGAAAAAGGAAAGGTAATAATACGTGTAAAAACACACAATCATTAATAGGTTACATTTGTTTGAAGTGTTTATAATCTTTTATATGTTAACAATATATTTTAGCAAAATAAGAATAAAAGTGAAATCGCTCAACTTAATCAAAAAATTCGTGAATTGAGTGAAGCTCTTATCAAGGAAGAGGCAGAAAAGAATATGTTGTTAATTTCCAAGAATACAATAACGGACCGATATAATAAATTATGGAATGAGGTATTTAACAATTTATTTATTTATATATTTATTATTATTATATTAATGTTTTTTTTTTCACTTTTAAATATTTATATAAATTTTTAGCATCGAAATTGTACAAATAAGTCAGCAGGCGTGGGAACTAGTAATAGCATAATTACAGTTATTAATAACGGTAAACAAGAAATACGGAATTATCTAAAGACACTTGAACCTGAAGAGAGACAAGCTCAGTATGTCACATCATAGTTAATTAAATATATTTATCAATGAATATTTTAATTGTTATATACTACTGTATTAATATACGATACGGGTCGTGATATTATTAGATTAGCTGAATTTCTTGAATGTTGTCATCCACATGACATTCATGCTCAACAAGCAATATTAGAACATTATGTTAAAACAACTTTTGACGTAGTTGGAACCCTTCCAAATGAGTTAGCTACTAAAATTCTTTTGATGTTACCAGCCGAAAATCTTTGTTGTGCTAGAGAAGTATCAAGACGTTGGAGAGAAATGGTTAATGAACCAAATCTTTGGAAAGCAAAATGTTTATCAGCTACTCAAGATGATCCTGTTCCTCTTTCATATCCTTCTGATCCTAAACAATGGGAAGAAGTTTATCGTGGTCTTCATTTTCGTGAACATAATTGGGTTCTTGGTAAAGTGCAGTCAGTTAAATTCTTAAAAGGACATACTGCAAATGTTACTGCATTAAAATTGAAAAAGACTACATTAGTTACTGGAAGTTATGATGAGACTGTACGAATTTGGGATATGAGGAATGGTAGGTGTATGAAAATTTTACAGGGAAAAGCTGTAAGTTGTGTTGATTTCATACTAGAAATGAGGATGGTTGCTGCTGGATTTAATGAGCAAGGGTATATACTCATAATTAATTTTTAATTATTGATTTATTTTAGTTATATTTTGCCTTACGTCTTTCCCGATATTTCTATATATTTAAAGTAGGGCACTTGTTTGGCACATGGATTCGGGTGAAGTCCTATTGACACTGACAGCACATAATCGCGGTATCAAGGGATTATCAATGAATAAAAAATATATAGTTACAGCTGGTCATGATATGTCTGTCATTGTGTGGGATTTAAAAGAAGGAACGAAATTGCATACTTTCAGAGGATTTGGTAATATGGTATGTGATATATTTTAGCACAGAGTTGTGAATTAATATATAGATATATATATTTATACTTACGATCGATAATTTTGTTTGACAGCTTCTTGGAATTCAACTTTTGGGCGATAATAATCTGATAGCTATAAATAGTGATGGCTGGATTCGTACATATGCACTTGAAGAAAAACTCCAAATTCATCAATACAAAATCCCAGATAATTCTCATATTCAGTGGTTTTCTGCATCAGGAATGGATGTAACATGTTCAACAACTCGTACAATATATCAACTTCGATGGCAAAACAAATACATTAAAACGGGTAAAAAGACAAAAGGAATAGATGAAATTATAATCGAACCAGAATTATCTATGGACCCATTGATAAAACAGAAGGTTGCATCAGAGGCAGAAATATTCTGTGGAACGACTGATAATACTAAAGATAGAATTATTTTTAGTACAAGATTTAATAGCAGAACACATAATAATAAAAGTATATACGTTTATTCGCAAGATAAGGGAATTAATAGGTTTGGAGGGTTGTGGGAAAGTATGGCTGATCAAATGACCACAAACAACATGGGACCTTTATGTATGGATGCTGACCATGAAAAAACCGTTATTGGATCAATGAGTGGATTGGTTTATGTTTTAGGATTTGTTGGAGATAGAGAATGATTATAAAATGACTCTTGTTTCACTATATATGTAAATTGTTATGAATGTTTGAAGAGTGATTTTGACATAACTTTTTTGTTTGTTTCGTTGAGTTTATGGAAACATTTATGATCTAATTGTTATTTCAAACATACAAAGTTATATAACTTTTTTTTCTTTTTTTTTTTTCCTCTAATTATTGAAAACTGTAAACGATTTTAATAATGCTTTTAATAATGCCTTTAATAACGCTTTTAATTTTAAGAATTCGGTACGTATATGATAGAATTAGTAGATTATCTAGATGTATTTTTGAAATATGTTTGTCAAAGTTGAATTAGAAGTTGGAACCTGAAAATCTCATATTTCTAATATCTTTTCAACAGAAAATTATCGAATATTATTAGTATAAATTCAGAACAATAAATAATTAAAAAGTGGGTTGTAAAGTCTCAGATTGATAAGAAACAATGCCAAGAATTAATTCAGATTAATATATAGGGACGCCCACAGCAAAAGCAGGGGATGAGACTATATGTATAGGTATAGTCCTATCCCCTGTGAACGCCCCGTATAATAAATTTACAATTGGCATCGGAATAATTATCTGATCTTTCGTAATATTGTTAAAACTTTTTTATTATGAAAAAAAAAATAATTTTAGAAATATAATTAATATTTATTACCATGTTTTAAAATGTATTATTGTTATATCACATTAAGTCCTTTATTTCAGGGATGGCACAGTAAAGACCAATAGACCATAGAGTTTTTTGGTCTGTATCATTTCAGCATTTGATTAATAATCAATAGATCAAACGACCATTTAGTTTAAAGCCATTCGATTAAAAAATGAATAATTCTCATTTGCCAATATGTATCATGTGATTATAGATAGATGAAGACCAACAGACTTGGTCTATTGGTCTACTGGTCTTTAGTGCTTGAGCCAAGCCAAGACTAAGCCGAGCCGATTAACGGCTCGGCTCTAGGTCTACTAATAAAGCATTGGCTCTAAAACGAAATTACGTGCTATTTCTAAATTATATGTCAAATATATACCAGCTAAATAAGTAATCGAATCAGGCTTGGTATTAATTAAAGGCTGTGTTGCTAAAATTTAATAGCAACTATTTTAATACTTAAATTATATGATTAGACTTAAATAACAGATTGCTGAATACGAGTGAAGTTTAATATAAAATATAAACCGGGGTAGTAATGTGTCGTAACTAACACTATTTATTTGCATATAGAACTAAAGTTTTATTAAAAGAAAAAATTGGAGACTCACAAACGACTTGGCTCTAACCTTTGGAGCCGAAAGATCGGCTCGGCTTGGTCAATGCAAGCCGTGAGCCGAGCCGTTTGCATCACTACTGATCTTGGGTTCAAACAAAAGACCTGTCATTTGCCATTCCTACTTTGGTAATACTTAGGAAACATAGAATAAAACCTGTGGTACTACGTTTTCCTCAACTACCGAATTTAGAGTTAAGGTCGTTGGCCTGATTTAGTATTGCTTGCTGCAAATATGAAGTGCGACTTTTTTATTGCGCCACTAGGGTTGCAACTTATCGTCGCAATAGAATGTGTCATCGATATATAATATTTATGACAAATAATTACAACATAAATAAGCTGTAAATATTAAGTTGCGACTTTGCGGCAGGCAACACTAGCCCGATTTAGAGAACCGGGGTGAAATCGTCCAAAAATATTTCCAAAGTCGCGTGATGCATAGGGAATAATTTTAGATTAAGCTAGGAGTATATGGCTTTTTTAACACCCGTTTGCTTCACGAAAGTGAATACTTTTACGGCATTCGCCTATTATATAATTCAGATAAATTACTGATTTTTGACTTTTAAAATGGCGACTTGTCAAAATTTTCTCATACAGTATTTATTTGTTTTTTTTTCGTTTTTTTTTGAATAATCTATGTTCATTTGTTCAGAAGATTCACGAGCCAAAGAGGCGAAGATTTATATTATTATGATTATTAATAAATAAATAAAATAAAATACTGAATATATTTAATGATGCTTAGAATAAATAGCAAACACATTTTTCGGTTATATTAAGCTGCTTTATGATAAAATTTACAGCAGCACAGAAAAGTCTGGGACAGGTTATGTCAATCTCCGAATTTCAAACTCATCCGGATTGCAAAAACTAATAATGGTAATATTAACGGAATAGCGCAATATATTTATTATAAAAGTCTAATTATTACATACTGTAGTGCCTTTTTTAAAATTTCTTGTTAAGGCTTATTACACACTAAACATGTCAGATGAGTACTCGAACGAAATTTTTTTAATGTTGACATTGTTACAACGATCTGTAAAAAATCATGACACAAAAATAGTTTTTATTATATGACCATGCCAAAATTACAAACTTAATCGAATCGGCTGAAAAATCATCCGGCTAAATTTTTATCAGCTGCTCTAGGAATTATAAAAGTAATAGCTATAAACCAGTCAACAAATTCATGTTCTTATTTAACTTTTTTAATAACTGCATTTGTTCATATAATATATTTGCTATAAAGTCTAATTTATATTCGGATCCTTTTTTACGTTTCTTATTAAGGTTATTAGTTGACGGAAGTCTTTTCCATAAATTTTCATTGGAGAACAAAAATTTGTTATAACGATTGTAAAGCTTTTATTATTTTTATTAATTTTTGGATATTTGGCTTTAACAAACTACTGTAATTATTGTCTACTAGTCCTAACCGCCACATAGAGGCATATCCAATAGTTAGGTAAAGGAGAAGAACATTCACAAAGGCTGTTTACTATATATTAGGTCTGGATACCCAACTAGTAACTATTGCACGAAGAGCTTTCAATTCTTCTGAACTACTAATTTGTTTGTTTGTTTACTAATTTTAATTAGGTAGAACTCTTGTTAAGGAAAAAACATAACTGATTCTTCTTCTAAAATCAGTAGACCTTAACAAAGAATCCACTTTCACATCTATCAAATAGATGATAATGAGAAGATACTAGGATGTCCCTTACAACTATGATTCAGGGTGGTCCAGTCACTTTGCTATTCATTTCCATAAGAATCAATGCCACCTAACTAAAACTAAATGTAAACAATGTAAACAAATTAATAGTTACAAAAATAAAAATTATTTTTGATGTTATTACAGTAAACAATAATACCTGCAATATGATTAGCAATTAGATTTAAAGGAGTCAGGTAAATTCTGAAAAAAAAAATATCAGCTAATGGCTAACAAATACTATAATTCCGGAAAATTTTGGTAAACTTTTCATGTTTATTCATTTTAGTCAGCTGGCTTAGCCAGCTGACTAAAACTTTATGGCTTAAATCACTAAGTTCCGTCTAACAATTATTCACCAACATTTATTTTACCAAAGCTTTTTACAGACAAAGTAACTCTGGTTGTCAGTAAATAATTGTGGTGTCTACAAAATGATTGTCAGTGAATGGATTCTTTCTTTGTGCTCAGGTTTAACAGATAATCTGTGTACCTAGCCCACTATTATATGTAAGTGCTGGACACATAGTACTATATCTTATTCACTATGTTTGGTATTTGCAGAATCAAATTATTTACCTTTATAATATAATGCAGTATAGCTAATAAATTTATTTCTATAATCAATTTTAAAATTTTTAGATTTAGATAGCTCAAGTAGTATATTTTCATCACTTTGCCATTTGGTAAAAATTTCAGAGTTTTTCGGCGATAGTCATTTTTCAAGTTCTCTTCTAGCATTTACTCATTATATTTATATAACATTGTGGTGTATTTTTGGTTGTAAGTCTTTATCACATTGATATTTGAAGGTTTAGTCCAATTTTTTGATTATAAGAAATTGACTTTCTATACAAGATTTCCTACATAATTATACCAAATGAATAAATATCTGATGATGTCCTCCTTTTCAAAACTTCTAGTGCTATATACAGTAAAATTCCATAAACTTTGCCAGACCCTGCTTCTAAAGCTGTATCAAATAATGCAGAAAGTTCTAAATCTGCAATATATTCATATTACTACTATATAAATCTTGATAAATAATTTTTTGTAAGTGAATTATTTGAAGATCATATATAATTCTCATTTCATTTTTAACTTATGATAAAGATTTTCATGCAATAAATCTAAATCAGCAAGTTTTAAAACAAGAATATAATTTCTGTTGATTAACCTGGGCTACCATGATTGCGATAAATATTCTTTTTGCTTAGAAAATGGTGGGCCATATAGTTCATCATAGATTACTGATAATGTAGTTGGATACTATCTAAATTTTAGAAATAAGATAGTGTTTTATATATAAAATTAACTTAAATAACCATTATTTTAGAAGCGAAGGTTTATATTTTTTAAGAAATTGCCTATTATCTATTTAATAATTTGGAAAGTTATCTATACCCTTGTATCTATTTTGCATTGGATTTAAGTCACAAGATGGGTTAGTGGAAGCAACAAAATCAGATGCTTATTTTTTTAATTAATTTTATTGGCTAATAGTCACATTTTGAATTTATATAAATATTTTTTTTAAAAAATCATATAAACTCAATCTAAAATGCAAGACAAGTTAGTAGAAGCAATAAAATCCAATACTTATTTTTTCAATTAATTTTATTGGCTGATAGTCATGTTTTTGGATTTATATAAATTAGCTAATTTTAAAATCGCATAAACTCAACCTGAAAAAAATAAAGTCCCATTACCTGCAAACAAACAGAAAATTCAACCTGAAAAAGAGACTATCATCTTTAAGCCAAGATCTGTCTTGCCTGCACCTGCCTCGCTGCACCTGTCTTGCTATATTTGCCTTACCCGTTTGCAATTAAGATAGTTTTAGATAAAGAAAATTCTCTTTTTAGAGTATTTTTTTTACATTATAGTTTCTCATGTTTTGTGTATTTTTCCTTTCCTTGTGGAATGCTATTGCTATACTATTTTCACTTCTTATGAAGTGCTTTTATTGTGTGATTTCCTCTTCTTATGAAGTGGTTTT